ACTTTCTCCAATGAAGAAATTTAGGCTCAAATGTTATGATTTTGCTGAAGGTCACACATCTACTTACCTACTTGCCTCCAGAGGCCAATCTCTTAAAGGTTATGTAAAAGACCTGTACAAAACATGTTTGAGAGATACCAGAAAACAGTAACATCCCACTACATCAAAGATGTATGCTTTATTCTGTGGCACTGGACTGGAATTAGAGGTATCACTATGAATTCATGATCTTTAAGATATACAAATGTGTGTTCAAAAGTTCATGGACATGCAGATATGGGAAAATGAGGCACAGATTTCAAAACATTTTTACACAAAATAAATTCATCTTTTAATTCCATTTTCCATGAATTTGTTAATATATCCTCTTGACAGAGACTGCGGGAAGGTGATATAAAAGCAGGTATATGTCTTTGGATACATATGCATGTTTCTTAATTTTGTCTGCTGTAAGGCCTAGATGCGATGACACCTCAGTATCAATGAACATGCTAAGCACCTAGGTTTTGGTTTCTAAATACACACCATTCTCCATTCAAAAAAATCAGAACTCCTTGGAGAAATGGTTGATTCCAACGTTGGGACAGGGAAACTAGAAAATAAGCCCAGAATATCCTGTGTTGCCAGAAAATAAGCAGGTGCTAAAAGAAATGATGGGAAATACACTGAAAAGATGTAGCAGCCAATTTGGAGGAGCTCCTATTGGACAAATTCTGGGGTAATTTCAATAAAAATAACCCATGGAATAAAACAAATATTCATTATGTCCATACTGCTATAAACAAATAGCTTAGAAACTAAATACATAAATACATAAATGATGGAGAAGGGAAAGTTCCTTAATACAGAATTCTACCAAGTAATAAATGTAGAAAACAAAAATCACCATTTGACAAATGTAACAATAGTAATCATTTTGGCAAGAATCATCAATACATGCTAAAATTAGTGGGCAAAAGTATGATGAGAAATAAAGTATTTATACCGTCTCAGAAGATCACCCTGCATGGTTTCACAAGATCTGTTCACTTTGCAAAGGGAAGAAATACTGATTTTACAGTGAGTAAACCTGGCAGACGCTATCTTAACCAATTTATCACAGTTAACTCAAGATAGAGTCTCATATCAGATATCAAAAGCTTAATACAAACATGAAAAAATGCACACACTCTTACAGTCATAGGACATATACATACATGAATATATGCATAAAACTAATGCTCCATAGCTGGCTGCACTGTCAACAACCTGCTCCCCTACCGTCCAGTTTTACTGTGAAGGTCACCAATATCCCCAGAACTAGCATGCTGAGCAGATACCAGTCATATTTTTGAGGTGATTGAAACACTTGTCTAACTAGAGTATTGATGTGTGAAGCAGGAAAAACAAGTCCCTATTTTAACAGAGGCACAAAATCCTAGTGATAGGAAAACTATATAAAAAGTTCTTTTAAGTATTATATATGATGAAAAGGAAAAAAACAATTACTTCACGAATGCCTAGTTGTTACTTTAAGAATCCAAAAACACAAGCTTGCGCCCAAGTTTTGTCAATCATAAAAACAAATTTCATTTTAATATAAATACATTTTAATATAAATTGATGCACAGTATTATACATTCCTGTATAATTAGCATCTGGTGCTCAATATCAATAGCAACATCAAAAGAAAAATAAGATAAATATTTAATCAAACTTCCACAAAATTTGTCCCTGGGGCAATTGCCATAGGCAGCAGGCACCAAGAAGATGTTTTCAAATGAACTATTTTCATGAACATAATTGTACTTTTATGCAAAGGCCTGTAGCCCCACTGACTGGCTAAATCTTGTTCCATGAAGATGCTGTGCATCAAAAAAAGCAATTTTAAATCAGTTATCTACTTTGATGAAGCAAAATGATGACATGCATGGTTTAAAATATTTGAGATGCATGGTTTTGCAGCAGATTTGCCATCCCAATTACCTTGTGCTTAGAGTAAGATCAAAGTTTTCCTATCTTGAGTACACACTTTCTGAAGAATAGAGAGGGCAGTGTGATGTGAAGCATGCTGAGTGCAATAGAGAAACTAGACAACTAACTTAAAAAGTGGACCCAAATACGTCGTATCATAGCAGCTGCATATAAAAAACGATCAATCACTCAACCATGTAAAGGCCTAAGCCATGATCTCATCTGAAAGTGTTTTAAGAACAATCCATTATGATCACTCAAACGTAACATTGAAATAATTTGTAACACAGTTAATTCCTTAGAGGTTAAGTGAAATTAAAGATGATGGGCTTCAGGTTGGAGAACATTTTCTCTGACAAAGTCATTCATTCCTTTACATCTGCCTCTCATTCCCAGGAGGATAGTGGATGGGACTACCCCACCCCAACCTTCCAGGAGATACACTGAGGTTTTAATTCTACATTCCTAAATCTGGCTGGAACTTTTTGCTCTGTCTTTTCACATGCACATCCTCCCCCACTCTACATTCATCCAGAAAGCTCATCCTCTTTTCAACAAAGAGAATTAGTCTCCTTTAAATAGTTAGTGGGCAAATTCTCAAGTTTTTCAGGTGCCTCAATGAATGTATAAAAAAAAAGTAAACAAAAACTTTGAAGAGAGAGAGAGAGAGAGAAGAAACAGCAAAAGATCTGAAGCCTGAGGCCCTGTATCTTTGCTTTATTCTTCTTGGTATGCTACCTTCGCATTTGTAAGAAGGATGTCAGAAGGGGAAAACAGGTCAGTGGCTTTTCCGACCTCAGGTGGGGGTAGGTTCATGTTGCTTAAGGACAGAGCAAAAAGCCAAGAACTTCATGAGGCCTTTAACACTTTGATGGAAGCTGGCCTTTTAGAAGACCCCAAATAAATATTAAGCTATAGGCAAAGTTTAAAGAGTGCGTGGGCTGGGTTCAAGTCGCGAAAGGTTAACCAGAGGCAGGGAAACACTGGCAAAAGGGGGGGGGGTGGAAAAGTTTTAAATATCCACCAGAGCCTAGTGATCCATTAACAGGCATCCCCCACCCCGGCTGCGCTCCTGCCCCTAGACAGAGCGAGCTGCAGAGAAACAAGCAGCCCTATTTTTAAACACTTAAAACTCTCCCCTGGACTTCAGAAGGCTAGAGTTACCAGCGCTGGAAATAATGTTTCTTCCCAAGCAAGTGAAAGCAAATTTGAATTCCCCACCCAGGCCGAAGAGAAAGGAAAGTTAAAGGGACGAGCTGTGGTTTCAGCGGGAGAGTGCGGTGATGGAGTTGGAGGGCGAGGACTTACCGCAGCCTCTGCAGGCTGCCCCCAAAGACTCAGGGCCAGTAAGAACAAGCCGGCAGCCAGGCGGACTCCACGCAGTTGCATTCTTCTCCGGCTCCCGCAGTTCCTTCAGCACCCGCACGAAATCCCCGACTGACTCTGATCAACTGACATAATCTTGAGGTTTTATTGCGAGAGAGCTAGAGCCGGTGAGGGACAGCGAGGGTGTCCCAATTGGGCCGGTCGGCTTGGGTGAGGAGAAAGCTTTTTAAGAGTAGAAAAAAAAAAAAAAAAAAAGCTATTCTTCCCTCCCCCCTCCCCTCCCCAAAGCCGGTCTCTGGGGAGCACTTTTCTCTTCGGTCGAAACTTGCAAACTTTTTCCTCACTCAAGTCGTAGAGATCTACTTTCCTCCCCCTCTTGCCCCCGCACCGCCCCCTCCCCACCGGCACCGGGGAATTTGAGTATCACTCCGCCACAGCTTTAGACTCCACCAGCAACCTGCGAGGGAGTGACGCTCAGCTATTTGGGGGAGGGAAACTTCCAACCCAGTTGACTGAGCACCAAGAGTCACAACCAGGAAGCTTTTCTTTTCAAAGTTTGCACCTTCCCTTGATACTACTCTTTCCTGCCCAGTCCCACTCTCACTAGTGTGCGCCCCCAACCCAAATACAAATAAACCTGAGCTGGGACTATTTTTTTCAGCGGATGGATCTCGGACGGTGCTTTTTATTGTTAATCATTAGAAACAAATTTTGATCGCTGCTCCCCAGGCTGCTGGTCTCCTTTGCCTTCCAACTGCTTACAGGACAGAGAGTTTCTACATACTAGTGGATGTGAAAATACTGGAAATATATAGATATGGGTATATGCTTATAAATGAAGTAAGAAAATTAACAAATTATGACAGCTTTATGTGCGCTATATGCATATAAACTTCGGGGGCATTCAGGGGTATCAGAAATTACTATATGTTGAATGATACTATAATATATTCATATCTACCTATTTTGAAGGTCATAATTAATATTTATCTCCTATACTGAGCTAACGTAAGAGATATTAACTCATTGTAGTTATGTTTCAGAAGGATTTAGGTAAAGGAATTAACTTTAGTGCAATTATCCTTAGAATTAACATAAATACATAATTGGAAATATTTTTGAGGAGTCCGTGGCAGTGGAAATGATGCCTCTCAAGTAATGCAGTGTGAAACATTACCTTGATAATTCTGATTTTTGAAAGTGCTAAAATATCCAGAAAATACTTCATATGGACTTCTTGGAGAGTGTTGCAGGAATTTGCAAAAGAATTCTTCAGAACACTTCTGTTAACTCAGTCCCTAAGTTTAACCACGTTAGTGTCTTTCTAGCATTTAGAGCTATTTCATGTGGGCCCATTCATCCTCAGGTTCCACTGAGCTCAGAGTAGATTTAAAACTCGATAAGCTCCCTCCATTCCCAAGAAGTTAGTGTATAATCAATTAAAATAGGGGCTGTGTGCATTAGGACATGTGTGCAGGGACACTTCGGGGCCCATTTATGTAGTAGTATGCCTAAGTCTGTTTAAGTGCAAGTTAGCAATGGTTTATGGCAATCTATGATGTGTAGTTGCTTAAGTCTCAGTGCATAAGTCTCTAGGGGCCTGTGCGTGAAGCTGTGGAGACGCTTGGGACTGTTGTGGTTCCAGGGGCCTGAAAGAGACACACACAACCCGCTGCCCAAGGTGGGGGGGAATGATTGACACCAAGCAGCCCCGCCCCTTTCCCCTCCATTCCTTCCTCGCCTGGTGCATGGAACTATCTCCTGAGTGCGGCAAGTTGTAGCGGGCACAGCGGAGCCTCTTTCCCTTTGGGACACTTCCTTATCTGGAAGCTGAGTTAAGTTTCTTTCGAACTACAGCGCTTCGCGCCGTTACCCTGTCCTGAGTAAGGAAGCAGCCGCCAAGCATCAGCAGAGCCCCGATGAGCCAGAGCCACAGAGCCGTTTAGCAGTCTCCCGGGACCCAGCTCCGGAGGAGCCGAAAGCATGCACCCTGGGTGAGCTGTTGCTGCCCTAAACTCTCCTCTTTTCCACTTCAGGCTACTTTGCCAGGCCGGGGCAATACTTGTACTTCTGTCATTGCAGTGAAAGTGGGAGCAGGCATCCAAAAGGGGTCGGGGAGCTAACTACCCGCAGACGTAGGATCCCGGAGCTTAGAGAGCCCGTATCACTCACCCTCCTTCCCGTTTCAGGTTGTGGCTGCTCCTGGCTACATTGTGCCTGACCGAGGAACTGGCTGGAGCGGTGAGTCTCTTCCTCCTCCGACCCCTTCCCCTCCTCCTCCTTCGACCCTTCCCTCCATCCCCACCTCTTGTGTTTGTGTTAGGAGGTTACAGTTGCACCGGGAAGCAGAGTTCACACCACTCTACTTTTCTAGTGGGAGCTAATGGTGTTCTTGGAGAGAAAGAGCATGGTGTCAAGCTAATTCCCCTGGAACCCAGGCATCGCTTCCTTTGTAACTGGTTGGGGAAATAAAAGTCGAAGACACCAGATGCACACATTTCTTTCTGAGTCTCTTCCTGGACACCTTAAGATGACTGACATCTGATGCCTTCCTCTGCATAGATCCTCAAAGCAGAAGAAATGCAATTTCCCCTGGTCTACCCGACAGAAACTGGCGCACAAGTTTGGGAGTGGGAGGAGAGCACAAGCAGAGGGACTTGAAAGTGCAGCAAAATTTCTGGGAATTAAACTTAAGTATTTGCTTGTGAGTCCTTTGACAGCACCAGGTGACAACATCTGGATTGAAGTGATATCCCTAGATGGTGTTCATTTTCTGCCTGATGTTCTTCCCTTTTTCTGGTTTTCTGCGTCATCAGAAAGTTGAAAGTTAAAGTAGTTAGAGTGGAATAAAATGCTAAAAGTGAACACGTCGTAGACTTTTTAGGTTATCATCTATCAAATCATGTAAGGACTGCAGGCAAAGGAATTTCTCTAGACATCTGGACAAGAGAAGTTTAATGGGTTCCAGAACATAGGGACACCTCCAGTGGAATTACTAGGATAATTTCACAAACGTGGAGTAACTAATGGAGTGACTGGAATAATCAGAGATGTTGCAGTTTCCAGTTGCACTGGCTACTTAGGCTGGCAGAAATTTAGTCAACACTTGAACTCAAATATGAAGTTGTTCAACTGCTGAGTACCACTGTATATTAAAATACCTCCTCTCTTAATACTCAGTCATTCACTACATAGATGACACAAGTATTTTAAAAGTCTTCATAGAGCCATACTTAATTCAACCTAACAGAATCACCTAATATGTTTATAAGAAAATAGATTACTTGATCCTAACATATGTTGTCTTTAAGAAAATACCAGAATGAAGTGAAATGGTTTGTGAAGAAAAGATAATGCCAGAAAACTTCAGTTCTAAGGCTTGTGACCCCTTAGATCAATATCAGCTCTCATGTAAGTAAATTCTAGACTTTGACAGTAGGAATACTGATCCAGGGCTCTGCATACTTCTCCATGTGATGCCTCCACCACACAAGTTTAATTATGTGTTACCTTGAGGCTCAGTACTACGTTTCTTGAAAATGCCAGGTTCTGATTAGTTAACAATTTGTCTAAGAATCTTGTCACTTCAGAATGTCATGTTCAGGCAGAATACCCTTCAGTAAAACCTTTGTTTTCAGACTTTGGCTGATCTTATTCAGTGTACTTTTGGGAAAATACCTACAGATCATTCAGGATAGCTGAGAACTTCCCAAATATCGCATCTTATCATTTGATATCCATGGTAGCTGCTAGCAGGTGAAACTTTTAATCCTTAAAAGTGTTGAATGAGTCTCCAAAATCAAGCACTGCTTTGATGTGTAGTTTTTGGACTCTACTTCATTATTTTAAAATTGTCAATGTGGTTGGCCTGGTAAGACTAAAATAAAATTTGAGATGCTCTGAGAATATTTTTTACCTCATTTATGTTCAGAGTTGATTCCTTCACTGTTGTTTACTTATGCACAATATCTTTTACATTGTAAAGCTATTTTTTTTTGTTTCTGGAGACATGACAAAGAGAAAGGGGGGAGTCAAAAGATAAGTCCTCAGAAGGTGACTTTTCATTATTTGACAGCCTGCACTAGATTCTTACCTATGTTGGCTTGATCTCATCTTCTACTCTCGATGCCATTGGATCCCCCATATGTTTGAGTCTTTTTCACCATTCAGATGGTTTTAAACATTTGAATTCTATGTAATTTATTAATGGAAATTGTTATTATAAATTGATGACAGGACATATGTTATGTTTCCCCATGAGAAAGTCTCCTCACTGGGAGAATTAAATTACCAGTAACAGAACATTGGTAAGTATCTAAAGAAAGGGTCATTTCGGTGCTCTTGAGCTTGTACTTTTTCAGGGCATACAAAGCAGTTCTGTATAAAAGACTGGAAAACTACATATTAAATTCCAGTACTAAAAAGTGAGCATCCATTAGATTTATTTTAAAGGAGTGATGATCTTCACTCAGGTAACATATCTGCAAATTTATCTGAATGAAAGAGAGCCTAGGATTTCAGAATATCCATAACCATCTTTAGTTTTGAAGACCCTAACTACCTTAAAGGACTCTCTTAGGCTAGGCACAGCATGTAAAGATTTATTTAAACATAATTGCCAGCATTCTAGGAGTTTGCATTCTCAGATTCTCATAATGGTGATTATGTTCCTTAAAAGACAAGATGCTTAATGATTAAGTGTTATCTGACATACTAGCATTGTGCTAGAGAAGAGATTAAAAAAATACAAATCTGATCATAGGGCAACATACCTAGAAGATAAAATATATCCCAAAGAAGTCAGAGTCCTTTTGTTTTCTTCCCACTTTACCCCTTTCCAAATGACTTTTCATGAAAGCCTCTAATACATTCAAGCATATATACTTAAAGACAAACACTAAGTAGGAGAAGAAGGAAAGGGGAGAATACATATCTCTTGCCCTTTCTGCAAGAAAGTATCAGTAAAATTGCCCAGACACATTCAATCAAGGTCTGATAGAAATACCAACTTCTTTCTTTAAAGTTATAACTTGCCCAAGTGATCTATTCCACTGATTTTCCTAGTCATTATAGAAGTCAACAAAGGATGACTATCATGATAAGACAACTAGAGCTGCAGAAATTTTCTTCCTACTCTCAATATCAAGAGAAGTATTTGCCTTGTTTGAGGCATTGTCTATGAATTTTTACATAATATTCTACTTTCCCTGTGAGCATATATCCTGTATGAGCTATTTATAAATAATTACAATATATAATATATGTATATGATTATATATACATACAATATGTTAAGATGACTGATGATACTGTCAGATATATGAGCACACCATCAGGTAAATCACTAACTGACTAGTTAATAGGTAGGTAATAGGTGATTAGGTAATTCATGGATGATAATATTTCTATATTATTGATGGGTCAAATACAAGTATATTTTAAGACAAGAATGGAGGGAGGAAGTAATATATTATTACTTGATATTTTACTAAAGAAACAGATGTATTAACATACTACAAATTTGTTTTATTTTGTATTTTGATGATTATATTGCAGTATAATTGGTTTCCTTTGTAACTCTATGTATTTCCTTATATACATTTAAGAATATGATTCTAAAAAGGAGTTTATGCAATTGATTTTTACAGTAAACAAATTGTCTCCTTCTAAAGTTTGTTCAGGCTGAAGGGATTAGTGCTAACGATTGGTATCAACAGTCTTTTGAATTTTAGGCATAGTATAAAGTCTCTAGTAAATACAGCCATTTTTCTGTAAGTTTACAAACCACAGAAGCAAAGTGTGCACTATTGTCTTAAGTACCTCTTTAAGATAAAAACAAAACTGGTTGACCTATTAACTATCAATACATTCTAGGTTTTTGCTTGCCTGAATTATATGAATAATCCCATAATTTCACCATCATCTTTGGAATATAGACTTTTTCTTTGCCATATAGATGATAAGACATACTCATATAAAAAGTACATACTAGGAAAGCAGCAGACTGTATTAAATTATCAAGTCCATTTTAGCTGACTGAATGTCTCAATGAGGCAGTGCATAGGGTTTTAACTAGTTTCAAGTCTAACTAAATGTAAATAGACAACCTGACTTAAGCATACCCATGGGAAAATGATGATGGGAAAATTAGCTAAGAGCAATTAATTATCCACTCTCTTACCTTCTTTAATTAATCTCTCTCCTGAGGTTTCTTTTTTTTTATTCTGAAAAGAATATTGAAGTCAATTCTAACATATAAGCAAACAAACAAAAAAATAGTTTCATTTGCCCAGTAAGTCTAACCTCCACAGTTACATTACTGTCAAATTCCTGGGGATTGCCTATTCTTCTTCATCAATCATTTGCGCTTCAACGTATTATAGTCTAAAACTGACTCCGCACCAAAATTGCCCTATTTCAAACTACTAAGGGCCGCCTAAATACCAAGCCCAATGGGTTTTTGCAGTTCTCCTTCTGTCTTTTCTACTGTGTTATTTGGCATTTTCCAGCCATTCTGAAACCTCCTTTCTTCCTTTGATTTCCATGACACTATGCCTCATTGGTTCTTCTTATAATTCTTCTGATTTTTCTTTAATTTTATTCAGTCAACAAATATTTATTGAGCAACCACCATTGTCTAAGTAGTGTGCGAGGTCATACAGACACAGTAGTGAACAAGTGAGGCATGATCTTTGCTGTAATGGAGTTCACAATTTGTATCTCTCCCTGGTCCTAAAATGGTGGCTTTTTACAGCATTTCATCCATTTCCTTCTTGTTTCATTGGTTTTGACTATACCTCTTATACACTGATTACTATCAAATTTATATGTCCAGCCCAGACATCTCCTTGAGCTCTAAACCTGTATTTCAAATTGCCTACTAAACCCTTATATGTGTATTTCAGTGAGTTGATGTATACAAAGCACTTAAAATAGTACCTGGAATTTAATGTAAGCACACAAACAAAACCAGTGGTCATCAAATTTTTATTGGCCCTAATACAGTATATCCAAAAACGGAACTATTTCTCTAGTTCTTCCCATGACATTGCAGTCTACTGAGATCTTTTTTTTAATCTTTGTTAATTGTCATTGCCATCCACCCGGTTTCAGCAATCAACTCTCATTATGTCTACCCTTCTCACTAAGTCCCATTGCTCACACTAAAAATCTATAGAATAATTTTTCCATTCATTTTCTCCTCTTGAAAGCTTCATCATCATACAATGATAGCTTCCTAA